ATGTTACTCTTAAAGATGATCACGAGGAGGAAGGAGAGGTGAGAAGGGAAGGTGGCTTGAATCTCGTTGGCGTTGCGATGATAGCATCATTGAATAAAACCGTGAGACCAACGTACGAAAAAAAAACAAATCGATTCAGTGAAGAGGCTAAAGGTTTTGATGAGGAAGAAAAGGAGGAAGGAGAAATTGATCCTAATATAGACGATGTGGATACAATGCAGAATGAGGAGCTGTGGAATTCACAAGATTATGATGGAAGGCAGAGTCATTACGCTGACGTTCTTTCCTGTTGCAATGGTGTTTTGCGGGTCGACAATGATGGTGAAACGTTTGACTTTGAAGCGAAGGAAAGTAACAACGGACATTCTAGCCTCAAAAGAAGATCTGCTTTTCATAAGGCTGAACAAGGCGTTAATGATAGCACTAAGGAAGCGGAAGATGACATCGATTTCGACGATATTGAAGGCAATGAGGAGAACAAAGGAACTGTTGATGAAGACCAGGAAAACTTGGAGGATTTGGAAGGTACCATTGTTAAAGATCATAATAGCAGTGATAATGCTAACGATATTGGCGAGGACAAAAGAAGGCGTGGCAGCGATGAGGATGCGGATGATGTTGACGACGGAGAAAAAGACTATTACTAAGAATGGGACGTCGATGAAGGCGACAAAGAAAACCTATCCAAGGCCGCAAATATTACTTTTGTTATCTACATTTATGCTCAAAATTTTGATATTTGTAGTGTTCATTTTAATGATCTGATTGCTCGATGAAAGTGGGAAAAGTAAAAACTAGTGAGTTTTCTCCCATTTATGATTTTTTGATTTTTTCGGATGTTTATGTTCTTAATACCACTGAAGTGCAATTATATGGAAAATACACTCAGACGACACGTTCGTTAATGCCCAGCCTAAAAGAATATCTGCATTGCCTTAGCACGTAAGAAGAGCATAAAGGAAAGAACACACCTCGCTGCAGATGCCACGCATTTCTCATTTATAAATGCACCCATGCCTATGCACGAATTTCCACTTTAGCTCTGGTGCAGTCAGGATTATCTGACAGTACCTTGGTACTTGCCAACCCTTTCCAATGTCGACAGTCACGTGCGATAGCCTTGAGGTGGTGACATGAGCAGCGATTCTTTGGACATCACATGTTATTCGATCGCCACCCCACCTGACTGATGTGTGAACCTCTTCGACTGTCCCACCTAGTAGGTTGCCCACTCATTCCATGGTATGATGTGGTGGAGGCCTGGTCATAGACCACTCCGAGTTGGTGGTGGTGTGACGAGCGTGCCATTGGCGCAGGGTGTGAGATGTTGGCGTGACAAAGTGCAGACAACCCAAGGGTATTGCCAACTCTTGGACCTGTCTGACTGTGTACCACCTCGCCCCACCGCACCACCTATAACTTCGGT